AAAAAGTCGGAAAATTCATCTTTATGAAACGGAGATAGTATATAATATAAAACTCTTATTCTTGAAAATGCACATGTAACCAAGAACCAGTTCAAACTGAACCAGACCCAAAAGAATAGTCGAGTTCATTGAAACAAAGAGTATATGAATCTTCTTTGTTTTATCATCTAAACCGGACAACAATGCAAGATATGTCATCTTTACTGTTTCTTCTCAATGCTTCAGCTATTAGTTGCTTGGCCGCTTCCTTTGGATCTCTAAATCTCTTAGCTATATCAACTGCTTCTTGGTTTGACATTACCTGTTCATCAAATATCAACAAAATTCTTCGCATATATCACTTCAAAATAAAACCGTTTTCCTTTGTCAAAATGCAAAGTTTTACCTTCGAAATACCGTCACTAGCGAGAACAAGAATATCAGTGTGACTATCAATGGTAACATCCTTAATGTCAGGCTCTGTATTCAAATACGGTTTAAGGTTCTTGTCTCCAAACACACGCGACACAGCTAACAAACCATTCACTCGAGCAACATCGCCTATTCGATTCACAAAACATCAGAATCATTTTTACATAATAATGCTCAAATCATACAAACATTAAAGAGTTCTTGTTTATAAAACCTGGCCTGTTGGTTACAAATCCACCTTTACTCTCAATCATATTCCTTTCGGTATCATTATCAGGATCATGATCTATACTAATCTGTTTCGCTTTACCACGACGAGAAACAATCGCTCGTGAATCACCAACATTAGCTATCCAAAGAACTTTCCCATCGATCAAAACCGCAGTCACCGCAGTTGAACCACCACTCCCTAAATCCGAACTATCCGATAAAATCATTTGGTCTGTATTCTCATAAGCTTTCGCAATCGTTCTCCGTGGATCAACCAAAAACTCTCCCTAGAAAAACCAATCATTATCTATCACACTAACCATCATAACATACACACACACAAAAAACACACAATCTTGTATATATAACTTACATCTTTGAGGATATTAGAGAAGAGATGCTTCTGCAAATAAGCAGCTACATAATCACCTTTATGACCATCAAAGATTGCAAATAAACCCAATTCATTGTCTTTGGTATTAATAAACTTAGCAACATGATAATCCTCCATTGAATGTTTCGATTTCCCTTTTACTAAACTAAATCCATATTTAATCCCTCCTTCATTGTTTTTCCCTTTACCCGAATGAGATCTTTGTCCTCCTACCACAACCTTAAAACATTAAGAAGAACAAAACAGATCAGAAAATCTTTATACTGTCTTAAAACACACCAAAATAGAAGAAAGATTGCATTTTTACTTGTGTAGCTGAACGAGAGCAGCAGATTCTGGGCATTTGATTCTTCAATTTTACACAATCTGCGAAATTCAAGACGAAGATGAAGCAAAATTGAAGAGAGAGATGAGTTGTTTCATTCCGTAACTTACGAGCGATCAATTTTTACGAACTTCTTCTTCTTCTTCGACGAAACCTTCGTTCTCCTTCGTTAATGTCGTTTTCTTGCCACAATTTTTTTTATCAACAGAAATAAATAGTTCTGGTTTATGGTTAATAGTTAATGAATTAATTTTTCGTACATTTATTAAAATGTCATTTTTTGTGTCCACCTTTAAAAAAATGTCATTTTTGGTGTCCATTTATAAAAATATTACTAATTATGATTTTTTAGAGCCTAAATCTTAAAATTCTAAACCCTAAAAATTTTTTTAACCCCTAAAACCCTTTAAACCCTCAAAACTCCCTAATACAACATAGTTAACCCAGAC